TCACTTGAAAATGCAATGATGTGGATATGGTCGTATTGTTATCATAGACAGAATTTGGCTGGAGTTCAGGCATGTTTACGCCCTAATGTAACTCAATTAGCAACGCAATTAAGAATAATATCACTGCCCAGCCCCCGCCCGGTGAGTTGGCAACAATTATCAAATATATACGCAACAAAACTGGTGTCAGTGATTGTTCCGGCTTGAGGAAGAGAAGACAATGTTGCCGTGTTTGTACTGGCATCAATTATACTAGAGTCAAAGTCAAAGTTTTATTGTGGGAATTACTTATAAGCTCTTGCTTCTCTTGTCTCCATAGGATATTCACACAACTGAATCCTTTCAGCATCACATACGTTACGAGGTAGGAGATAACAGAATATAGGTTTCAATAAATTGGCGTTTGGTTTTTGGTGGTGTAGGAACGTGAGGTGTACCAAGGTCTCATTAAGTGTCCGCTTGAAAGATTCAATAGTTGGAGCATAAACGACGTGAGATGGAAGGGCATTCGAAGAACTGCAACATCTGACTGTAAAAGATAGGCACCAGCATTCAAGCCGACATTTTGTAAGCAGTAACGTGAAACGGTAACTTCCAAGGTGTATATTGTTTCATAACATGAGCAGCTGCCGACATGGATGGTTTGGGTTCTGCAGTATTTGATACGTCAAAATCAAGTCTATCCGAAGTCGGCCGTACTCGGCAGATTATAGTCCAAATGATCGTAATCTCTCCTCATAGGTGTGACAATGCATTCCCTTGACCATCTTGGTGGCCATCCTTTTTGGGTTCTCGAACATTTTGCGATCACGTTGCATCCATGGACTCCAAGCTTGATTGGCGTGCTCTATGTGCGGTAGAATATGTACTGATAGCAAACTTGAAAGCAGTGTTGAGTCAAATCGACCAAAGACGTGCCTAAGTAAGACGAAATTCTTCATAGCAGCGGATGAAACCTTAGCACAACTGATCGAGGAGCTTAAATCCTCTTGAACATTAATACCTAGGTCCTTTTCACCTGAAGTATGTGGTAGCTGCTGATTTCCGAGGAAATACGAGATTCTTCTCTTGTAGCGTAATGATAGGGCTTTGCATTCAGAAACATTGAATTCAATGCCGTTCTCCTTCGCTCATTCATAAGTTACGTTCAGTGATTCTAGAAGTGTTAGAGAGCCCTCGGGTTATATTACTGTATTCCAGATTTCGGCGTTGTCTGCAAACAGTATTCTTTTGGACCTAACACTTTCACTAGATCATTTATGAATGCGAGAAACAGACGGAGACCGAGTACGGACCGTTAGAGTAGTGAGCAGCACAGCTTTATGATCCATGATATTGCTCCAAAATTTTTTTCAGATTTCGCTGGTCGTTTGTATTAATTAACTGCATTCCGATTTGCGCGCTACAAATCATGAGAAAAACAAAACAAGATTTTCACGTTGACTACACTCATTGAATTTCGATAGTTTTCACTCATCCGAATGGGGCTAGCTGGATAAATTTTGATTCCACTCTTTGCCTCTTTCTGTTTAACCTCGTAAAATCGTGCTGGACCGACCGATTACACCAAATTCCAGTTCCAGTCTATCACCCTTGGTCGCGTGATAGTTTGTCAATCGCGCCCGGGGTGGGCGGGTGGGGTGGAATCTATTCGTCATACGCTCGCTCCATCCTCGTATAGGTTGAAGAAAAAGCTGCCACAAATCGAGCGGCTTTTCTTCCTTCCTCTCGGTTCATCGACTTCCTTGTTACCACAGCTTTCCTGTCGTTTTGGGTTCTTCCCAGTAGAACAGCTGACTTCAGGTTGTTAGGTAAATCTTTATGTAAAATCGATGCAAATCACAACCAGATGTGCGAACTTGGTTGTTCTACTTTCTCGAGTGTTTCCAGTTTGTTGGAGTGGAAAGGGGTTAAGTGATTGAAGAAAAAGCGTTTTCTCGGAATGTTGCACATTCATTATGGACTGTGTAGCATTGCGTTTACTCTGGTGAATGGGAAATTCTGAAACCCTTTACTTTTGCAAACATTCTTGTGAACCAGTTGGTATGACTAATTGCGTAACGTATCATGTGAGCTGATCGTATGTTTTCTTTCCGGAAGCAAATATGCTTTTAAATTGACTGGAACACAATTACCGATTAATTTATTGCGTACAAAACATACAGTCGATCATTTGCCTATTTCATAGCGGGGGCAGTAATCACCATGGTTTTGCTACCGGATACCGATGACGCAATAGTTGATATTACACGCCACACACACACACCAGCATGTTTCAGACAGCACACACAAAAAGATTGACCGATAAACCGATCCCGAACACGTCTCACGTTCCTTTCAGGTTTACTCGACAAAACAATATAGTGCACGTTCGTGAGGGGGATAATTTGATATTCACGTGCTCAAAGAATCCGGCACAAAGTTTGCAATTATTTTGGGTGAGTTCCGTTCGCCCGAATGGTTTCTCGCGAACTCAAATGTGAAATGTAGGCATTTATTTTGCACTTACCTTGTTTGTATCTTCCTCTCGGAACACCAGCAGAAACAAAAACAATGTTTCAGAAACTCAGGGAAACAGATGGCTAGAATGTGGAAAAGAAAGAGAAAATGAAGATGGATCTTGCTGATGTGTATTCCATGTCCAATGTTCAGTTCACAGGCAGAATAAGCTCCTTGGCCTATAAATTCGTCTGTTTCTTGAGTGTTCTCGGAGAGATGTGGTGTCCGGATGAGGTTCTGTAAAATTTGTTTTTGTTTGGGTTTCAACCCCAGCCAGTTACTTAAGAGAACCAGTAACGGTGGGTTAAGTATTTCTGGAAATGAAGGGAATAGTGATACCCTGTCAAGGTCTGGGCCAAGCTGATGGAAATGCGTTAGTGCATGTGCATTTAAACTACAAAATACAATAGTTGCCTCGTCAAGTATGCTGCAGTGACTAGCCAGCGGTCCATTTCACGTTGATGGCAGGGTATTCAATTCCCCTTGTTCCAGGAGAACACTGACTTGAGACAAACTTATCAAGTCCAAGGTTGAAAGATTGCGTTATGGTTGCGGAGACAACGTCCTCTGAGAGCGCATTCCACGCAGATATGGTTCACACAGAGAAGTGCAACCGTCTGCCTTTTGTCCGGTTGTTGGCCAGCCATCGAGTAACCCCGTAAATGCTGTTTCCACGACGGAGTTAGTAGCTCCTTGTTGGGGTGATCTGGTACTGTTACAATTTTTTGCATTAGTATCAGATCCCCGCGTAGACGCCTGTGAGAAAGATTGAACAGGTTTAAACGTTGCAATCTCTGTTCGCAGGTTAGGTTGGAAAGACCTGCAACTCTTTTAGGTGCCCTACGTTGAACTTCTTCGAGGACGTTTATGTCTTTCATCAGCAATGGGGGACAAGCCTGTATATTATATGCTATGCGTGGTCGTATGTACGTGTTGTACATTAGCCTAAACTATTCGGGCTCCATTTTGCCGAGGGATCTTGCGATAAGATGCTGAGTAGAGCCTCCCCTTTTACCCATTCAATATTGCAGTTTAAGCAACTGAAGTTACGTGGAAAAAACTCAACCCTTTTGACTGTGGTGCACACAACCTTCAACCCAGGGCATATCTCATCCGGTCCGGTTTCTTTCTGCAACTGAATGGGACCTGTCGATCAACCGTTTTCCGCTGCCTTCATGAATAAATTATTAGCCCACGGGGGATGTGTGCACACGTGATACGGTTCCCTGAACCTTGATATCTGATCCCTGGTACGATGATTGGATAACTACAGATGCATCTAGTGAATCGATAAGGATGAAACTCGAATATGCAATCCCGAGGGAGATCAAAATTGGGTTCCTATGGACAAAGATGTCCATACTCAAGACACTGAAAAATAGAAATGAATTACAATCACGTTTCATCCCTTTTTGTCCCGGGATTCGGCTGTTAAACCACCACTAATGCGGTTTTTAACCAAAGACTGCAGCCAGTGTCCTAATTTTGAGGATCTACTTTCACCAGAGAAACACACCAGTGGCAGATAGCTATCCTGCGGCGAAACTTCAATTTCACATCGTTCTATCATGGTTGTTTCGCTCGGCCAGTGCAAGTGGTTGGTTTAGTCAAAGTTTAGTTATTTGTGATATGTCGATAATATGTTCTTTGTTTGCTCCGTCACAATGAATACTCAATATTTCTCAACGAAATGTAGGACGATTTGACGTTCCATTATCTATGACTTTTCTTAAATATCAAGATTTGCTTCACCTCATCGGTTAGAATTCGGTCAAATTCCTAGGATTGAGTGGATTATCTAATCACAAACACCGTGCGATTGGAAATGATGTGGAATCATTGTAGCTTGGGATGTGGATGTTGGTCCTGGTGAGTTCTCCTGAGCTGGAAGTATTGCTTGCAGATGTTACGTAGCCAAGCAAGCTAGGCAACATCATCAGTGCTAGTTCGCACAGTGGATGGTGATGGTGCTAATCCACGGTGCACACTCTCGACCGAAATGCAAGCCTACCGGTTCAGTGTCGAAACCCGTTTGCCTGATTGAGTTGATCAACGAGTAACAGTCTGACGGTGTGCACGTGCTGAATCGAACTGCAAGCTGTCTTGTTCAATGAATGCATGGCTGAATTTGAAGACCGTTTGGCGTGTGTGATGTTGTTCTGGTGGTGAGGATGCTCATCGCTGATAGATCCCTGTAATACTAACTGGCTCGGAGACCCCTTNTTTGGTGTAAAAGGAATCACCACGGTCCGTATTCTCGGGTATCGAGGCATTACGATATCGGCCGGTCAGCGACGGACAACGGAACTGTCGGAACGCTTGTGCTGAGATGTGGATCACTGGGGAATGAGGGAGCGGGGCGAAGTATTTGCACGCAGCTTTGACAAATGCCGGTGATTATCACCGGTCTCCTTGGCAAGAGAAGCATTGCACAACATGAGTTTGGGGCGATAAAAACACTCACGATGAAATATGACTGACATCGTTGCTAAGCATTATCTCCAAAATTGATTGTTCCATTTTCTGTGCCATCACTGAACTGCATTGTACACTTTAGTAGATATTGTAAGAAATCAAATCTACAGTTCACTAACTAGAATAAATAACTTTTTCAGCTTTGAACGTTGG